TGAGTGAAATCAGGGAACTGCTGAGACAGCTGGTTCAGTAAGAGAAGTGATTTCTGGCAAAGTGTACCTTTAGACAGTGATGTTGCGAAGCTCTTGTGAAAAGGTTATCTCAAGAAAAGGTGAGTGATTGAGCAGTAGGATAAGCAGTTGAGTCAGTTAAGACAACTGCTTAAGATGCTGCTGGCAAACTACAATTTCTTATACGAGAAGTGTTGGGTGTGTGCTTTGTTGACTAAGGAAATCAACACACGATATATCCTGGTTCAGAGGTGGTTTAATCCTCCTACATCCAGTCCCATCCTATTTCAAATGGATTTCACTAATGTATTAAGCCCAATACACTTAGTGCCAATCTAGCCTTGACAACTCTGGCCTAGATTGAAGGTGTTTCACGAGGAGTACAACACCACTCCAAGCTACTCAATCATTTAGGTTTTTCTCAATTGATCCAGTGGGGATCAAAAGGTACTCCTAACCTATCTAACCACACTCAGGCCGGGATCAACTGTCCTCCTGAAGTGTTTACAACAATTTGTGGTAGTGATTACAAGAAAGTTCTAACCTCCAACTAGGAACTAAACTTCTATGATTTTGGCAATGAAGATTTGATACTGAGAAGTTTAGTGAAGCAAGAGACTTAAGTAGAGAGTCGTGGATAGAATAGCACTTCTTGCTCAGTGAAATATCTCTCTACTTTGGATGCTCAGGCTTAGTTAGAAACTTTCGTTTCAGCCTCTATTTATAGGCTTTTTGGCTGATCAATCTTATCCGTTGGTTAGGATAAATTGATCTCTGCCGTTGATCTTCTGGCAAAGACAAATTGTACTTCCGTCTTTTTGTGCTGGAGCATTTATTGCGGCTGATCTCTTTGTCTTGCATTATTCAGCCGCTGAGGCATCTTCCAAGTGTGCGTCCCATGCCGCGGCCCTAGTACTTGATTCGGTATTAAATACCGGTCAAGTTTTGTCTTCCAATCATACACATTTAGTGTATTGTTTTTCGAGCCTTTCTCTTATTGTGACCAAGAGAATTAGTGTACAGATAAAATATACCGGTAGGATCTAAAATATCCTATTAAGGTAAATAAATATTACCTTATTGCATTTTTACTTTTCCGGTAATATTTTATTTGTATCACCAATTTGTACATTTATGTGTCACTTCAAGATAAGTCAACTTCTAATGCCCACTAAGTGTATTTTCCTTTTTGTGACGAACTTAATTTGTGATAAAGTAAATATATACTGGTAGGATTTAAATATCCTTTTAAGGTAAGAATTACCTTGTTGCATTTTGACTTTGCCGGTATAATTTACTTTAATACAAATATCACTTTTGGTCACTCTAGGTTGTGTTTAGCCATCATTATTCTGAACATAAACCAAGTACTTAACTGGTAGGTTAACAACTCCTATTAAGGTAAGAATTATTACCTTATTGCATTTTTGTATTCCAGTTTTAATGACTAGTTTATTTGTTCGAACTATTTGAACTATCAGATAAATTTAACTGGTTGGATTTATGAGAAATCCATTTTAAGATAATGGAATATTACCTTATTGCTTTTTATGTTTTTCCAGTTTATATTTATCTGACAGTTCGGATGAGACACTTTTTGGATAACATTTCACTGGCTCTAGGTTGAAGCAAAATACATCATTTTAATTTCCTAATGCTACAAAAGAGGGGGGGGGGGGGGGGGGGGGGGGGGGTGCAACATTAGAGGAGCTTTTGGCATCATCAAAAGAATGGTACATCAAAATCTAGGGGACTAACATTATATATGGCACATGATTATTCAAACGTACAATCAATCTATAAAATAAATATTACAAATAGCATTTAATTATTCAACAATCATTACAAGCATACAAGGAACTTATCATTTATGCATTTATAAGTGATGACGGTTTTCAAAAGGTATCTCAAAATGGAATATTAAAGTCAAAACTTTCCATTAATTTACTCATTTAAAGTTGACCGTTTGCAAAGATAGAGGGGGAAAAATTGGTTTCATTCATTCTTAGTCCCAACTATAGTTTGCCATGGCAGCATAATCTAAATTTGAACTAAAATTTATTATACTTGTATCGTTTGATGGTCACTAATTATCTAAACAGGCATGGAAAAATATTAATCTACCATTGTGCAAAAATTTTATTACTATTATTGTAACTCAATTATTATTATTATATCTTAAAAGCAATATAAATATTCTACAACTATGAAGCTATTACATACTTTTGCAATGTGGGCTTGATAGTATCTGCTTCCCCAATTCACTGATCAAAGTCATACTTTGATAAAAAAAAATGCAAATATCAGACATAAGAAAGGTGCAAAATGAAATTCACGCCTGAACAAAAGTAAGGGTCACTTTGTAAGATCATTTACTCAATCAAATATGGAAAATGAAATATTTCCGCAGTATGTCTACGATATAATGGTTATCCATGCAACACCTGTTGATAGAATCGGTCGGATAAACCTGCAAAGAAGTGTTAGAAATAATAATATAGCTCGAGACGCGTCAGACGCTGTCCTCAAGAAAGTATTTCCGACTGGCGAAAACCTTTCCCCAAGATATAACGAGCTCTTCGGCGTAAGCCGGTAACAGAACAACGAGAGTATGAAATATTAGTCCAGCAGCAATGTGATATATTAGGGGGGTGTTTAGCTCAAAAATGTTCTCAATCCCACCGAGAAGCTGGCCTGGCCGAATATATACATATATGGAATACGGAGTATATGTTTTGAAAGTAGATACGCTGGTGGCCGTTTTACTATGATCACAAAGTGACCCGTTGCTGCCAGGTGATTCCAATTGACCATATTAATTTAGTTGATAAATGTTACAAGTATAAATCAATGATCAACGTATTGCATATCATGATTGATATGTCTTGTACGTTATAACTCCAATATTAAATGGACAGTGAAGGCTTAACGGTATTATTTGGGAATACTCAATAAATTTAAAATAATTTTTTTTTAATAGAATATAAAATATCTAATTTATTAATAAAACAATATTATTATAGAATTTATTCATTTGAAATACTCTTATTTATCCAACAATCCCCCACATATTTCAAATGAATATTTTGAGATTTTTAAAAATTAGTTTAGAAAAATATCTGCTGGATTAAAGGAATGAGACTTTAAGTTTGGTGTCCGTAGACTTGAAACCAAACCGAGACGATTAAGTCTTAATAAACCGAGCTTATGGTGAAACATATAGTTTCTTGAAACCAACAAGCTACTATTGGTAAATCAGGGGCTTAACGGTCGTGTCTCACCCCGCACAATTTCTCGTTATTACGCCGTTGTGCGCCGTAAGGCCACGCGCGTGCTTGGTTTTCATGAGTGCTCTAGAAGTTTTGTCATGCTTCATAGAGGGGGCCCCACCTCACACTCATATAGGTGATATCATCAAGTGTGAAACGCTTTTGCACACCACCCTAAAATTAAGGGCTATGATAATCATTAAGAGCTTTTAGCTCACCCTCTCAAAGAATGCGGATTCTAGCCTATATCTCACATCATGGAAATGGGCAATTTTAGTTAGGCTAGCAGAACTAAATGAAAGACTTGTTATTACCCATTTGAACTTGCTTCATGGGATCTCCAATCACACAAGTTGGGTTCCCATCCCCATTTGTTTCAAAGTGACACAAGTCCCATTTCCTTAGATGTTTCGGTTATCAATTTTTCGTCCTAGGGATTCTGTCAAAGGAGTAGCTAATTCCTTCTGACTTCATAAAATTAATGGAAATAATTCCATTCTCAAACATCATTGCACCCCTTTTAAGGGTGAATGGATATCCTACTATTTTAATTTATCTCATGTGAGTATACTCAGATGTCGTCGTTGTATCCCGGCAATACAAAGGATACTTCTCAATAAAATATAACATCGATGTGACCCTCTAGTACATCGGATAATTCTCAATAAAATATATACCATCATTGTATCATTTTAGTACAATGGATAATTCTCATATAACATCATTGTACCGCTCTAGAACAATGAATATTTCTCAATAAAACATATCATCGTTGTATCAATAGATTACAACGGATAATCTCAAAAAAAATACCATAATTAATGGTACGTCTCAAATATCTCAATAACCGCCTCAACGCAGTCCAATGATCCCTACTTGGGTCATGAGTATATCGGCTCGATCTTCTGACAACACAAACTATGTCGGGCCTAGTAAAATTTATAAAATGTAATAAACATCCAATAATTTGGATGCACATTAGCACACCATATCTTCAATTTAAGAAAAATTATACATGTGCTCCACTGTTTAAGTTTATGCAAAAGTAGCAAAGAGTTATAAAGCTCATTTTCACTCAAAGAGATAGATAATAAAAATTAAACTAAGCACCCCCACAATTTTAAATATTTCAAAACAGGTGCATAACCATTCTAGACTTCATAGAGAGATAATTTATATCTCAACCTTCATTTGTACACAATGATTTTATCAAATAAGACTCGCCCTTTAAATTTAAATAAGATAAAATTTAGTTTATCTCAAAAAATCACCAATTAATGTGACAAAGAACTTTTGCCACCTCTAAACACTGTGTAGATGCTCTAATAAAATTTATATAAAACATCAAATATATCACAATTTTCTAGAGGTGCTCCCATAACACTAAATATCAATCTTAGAATATTTAGGAGTTTCATATAGTACGTATCGCGGAATCAACAGATATAAAGATCAACACAATTTGAATGCCACTGAAAATCCCGAAATAAAATTAGATTCTCTCCACTTCATTTTTTTTTATAGATTGATCACAAACATCACAATGAAAACTTTGATAGAACACAAACATCACAATTTTCTAATGTCATTATATATATATATATATGTGTGTGTATATATATATATATATATATATATATATTATACTAGAAATCAAACCTCAAACATTTAACAATTAGATATAAGAATCATTTTCATATATTAATCTAGTATGTCACACATTAAAGGAGTCGATCAAATAAGCAAAAGACATTCAATTCATTATTTCAGAAACACTGAGAACAAACAGTCCCTGATTACAATAGCCTTTTCCCACAAAGACATTATTTTAGTCATCACAATTTTGTCCGATTCAAAGGACACCTTAACTCCAGCTTTCCCCAAAAGTGAAACCGAGACTAAATTAGTGCGAATTTCAGGCACATGAAGCACATCATTCAAGGACAACGTTTTCCCCGATGTGAGCTTAAGAACAACTTTTCCCTTACCATGCACCTTGGTTGTGTGAGAGTCACCAAGATACACTTGTTCTTCACCATCCCCTATAGGAGTATAGGAGGAAAAAGCACTTTTGTTTTTACAAATGTGCTTGGTAGCCCCAGAATCTACCACCCATTCATTCACATCGGACACCAAACAAGTTTGAGAAACAACCGCCGCAATGACATCATCATCTTGAACCAAGTTTGCACTTGGTCTAGGTGGTTTGTTGTTTCTCATAGTTGCCCGTTTCCTACATTGTGCTGCAAAATGTCCCGGTTTTCCACACACATAACAATGTTTTTCCTTTTTAAAGCTGGTGTTAGATTTAGGCTTATTGTAATTGGGCTTGTTATTATCTTCATTATTATTATTATACCTCCTTTTGTTTTGAGTCTCCACTAGGTTGGCGTTGGAGGTGTATTGCATGATTTGAGCCTTGGAGCCCTCCCTCCTATTGGTGTCTTCAATGATAATGTGTGTGATCACTTCATTTAATGACATGGGTCCAAATTTGTGCTTGAGGTCGCGCTTGTAGTCCTTCCACGACTCGGGCAATTTTTCAATGAGGATCCCGGCAACAAAAGGTTCGGGCAGCTCGATCTGCACGCCTTTGAGGTCCTCCAAAAGCGTTTGATATTCATGAATTTGTGCCTTTATGTCCTTGTCGTCTTTCATTTCCCCAAAAGTGATATGAGCAGGTGTATCCGACGCTATACTTTCTTGAGATTGTTGATAGAATCGGTCGGATAAACCTGCAAAGAAGTGTTAGAAATAATAATATAGCTCGAGACGCGTCAGACGCTGTCCTCAAGAAAGTATTTCCGACTGGCGAAAACCTTTCCCCAAGATATAACGAGCTCTTCGGCGTAAGCCGGTAACAGAACAACGAGAGTATGAAATATTAGTCCAGCAGCAATGTGATATATTAGGGGGGTGTTTAGCTCAAAAATGTTCTCAATCCCACCGAGAAGCTGGCCTGGCCGAATATATACATATATGGAATACGGAGTATATGTTTTGAAAGTAGATACGCTGGTGGCCGTTTTACTATGATCACAAAGTGACCCGTTGCTGCCAGGTGATTCCAATTGACCATATTAATTTAGTTGATAAATGTTACAAGTATAAATCAATGATCAACGTATTGCATATCATGATTGATATGTCTTGTACGTTATAACTCCAATATTAAATGGACAGTGAAGGCTTAACGGTATTATTTGGGAATACTCAATAAATTTAAAATAATTTTTTTTTAATAGAATATAAAATATCTAATTTATTAATAAAACAATATTATTATAGAATTTATTCATTTGAAATACTCTTATTTATCCAACAACACCAACAACAAGTCAACATCAAGATTACACATATAAAGTTAATCGATGAGGAATGAGCACAACTCTTACACTAATACATGTCAAGCGCTTAGCTTGACATCATATGGTTATAAATATACTGCAGACTTACATGACTAGCAAGCGTGTAAAGGAAAAGATTAAATGCAGCCCCAGCCCATGCTGTTTTAGTAAGAGTTAATCGATGAGGAATGAGCACAACTCTTACACTAATACATGTCAAGCGCTTAGCTTGACATCAGATGGTTATAAATATACTATAGACTTACATGACTAGCAAGCGTGTAAAGGAAAAGATTAAATGCAGCCCCAGCCCATGCTGTTTCAGTAAGTATGCCTGAAGTTCTTGTGACTTCTTTATATAACGGATAAACTCGATAGATCCTTGGAATATATTGGATGAGCACCACAAACTTCACCAAATTCTTGGCATTCAAAGATTTAGCGCCTCTCATTTTAGGAATTACTATTAGAATCACAATCTGCACAAATGTCAAATCGAAATCCAAACATAAAGTTAATAACGCTTTCAACCAATACTAATGGCATAACTAAAATTGTCATGTATAAGTCTATCTTACTTGGGGCAAGGGAAGAACTGCAAGGATGTCAATAAAGAAATGAGAGGACAAATATCTTTTTGCAATTTCCCAGGCATCTTCAACTAAAACGCCTCTTCCAAATACACGCGAAGAAGGAGCAATGAAGCTCGTCCGAATTTGTAAGATAATATGAAGGATGTAAAAGATGTCAGTACATGAATGCAAAGCACTAGCAGTAAACTCTATTTTTTTGTCCACGTCCAGACATTTCTTGTCATTGTCAACCACTGAAATGTAGAAAAACAGAGGATCGAATGAGATGGCAACAACACATGACAATACAAATATTTTAGGAAAAATTCATATTAATAATCCCAACTATTAAGGGCCTTCCAATGTTAATCCCCAAATATAAGCAATTCTAACATAATCCAAAGTTAATATGGTGTCTTCTTAAGTTGATCCCGATAACCTAGAACTTACTCAACAGGTAAAAACAATAAAATGACAATCCCTTTCTAAATTGCCATGGGTTTTTTCATATCTTTTCTTATTTTCTAGCCCTCCCTCTACAAGATATGGAGATCACCCTTCCAGCTTTCTCCTCCTTGTGGGTGTCATGGACGACGGTCGCTAATGAGAAAACATGGCAAAGCATATGGCGGATCGACTATTACTCCGGTGGTCTTCCCCCGCGATTCACCGACCAACACGCGGTGAAAAAATGCAGTGTTGGGAATGCTTCTCCATCGTACCTGCAGCAATTTCTTCCCTATTTTATTTGCAATTTCCCCTATTTTACCCTCCCTTAGTTCCTCCCTTCTTTCCTCTTCAATTCTTTCTAGTATTCTTTTTCTTTTTGCCTCCAGATGCAATTGACGGGTTAGGAGAGGAACTAATTCACCGAGCCTAAATGCTAGAAACTTTTTGGATCTAAATTGAACGATTTGTTGTCTTCTGTGTCACACCATGCTTCTATCTCAGTCAGCTGAGGAATAGCCATTAAAGGCTTTTTTTATGGTTCAACTCTCGTCATCCCGTTACTGGGGCCAAAAGGGGTGTCAACCTTCTGGTGAAGACGACATAGCAGACGGCCATATGCTTTTTGAGATGAATAGGGAGGGTGGCGGCGGCGGCCTAGCCATATATCAATAGACCTGGAATGGCGGAAGATAGAAAAAAATGAAAGAAAAAAATCAGGAAAGAAAATGAAAAAAAAATTGAAACCAATAAAAACAGGCCATGTGTCCCGTTTACCTGCTGGATAGGTTTATTCAGGTTACCGACTTGTTTTGAGAAGATACCCCTTATAAATTAGATTATACCGGATTAACTAATATTTGGGATTAATTTTGGAAGACCACCGATAGTTTAGATTATTTATGTGAATTTTTCCAATATTTTATGGGTCATCGCTGAAGAAAGGGACCTTGCGGATTGAAAATCTTGTTTGTATATCCTAAGTCTCCTCTAAGAGCACGGTTAAACGAACAAGATTTAAGAGAATCTTTCACACTTTTGATCCTCTCAAAACCACTTTCTAGGGATCTGTGGAAGCTATCCGAAACTGGATGCAATGCCATTCAGACTTCCATTGGGACCTCTGGCTGTACTGGGAAGTTCTCCTTTGAAACTACTGTCTGAACTCCAATCCTGAAACATGCAGGTTACACAATCCATTTTAAGTATCAGGTCACAACAATCAATAACAACTGACAAGGAAAATGGTATGCAAAATGAGCGAAATTCGCAAAAAGAAATTGCATACAAAAAGAAAAATGTCTTATTGGAAACATAAAGAGTAAAGGAACAAAGAAAATGTCATCTAATAATACTGGAGTGTTATAAATGGCAAGGAAATATTTTCACTATCCTTAATTGAGTTAGTTCCTTAAAATCACATATAGACATGTAAAATCACAAACTTCATTAGTCTTTCCTGTTTCTATACCCACATTTAATCTCAAGTTAGTGCTTAAAGGAAACCAGTTATATGTGACACACAAAAATCTCTAGAAGACCCTTTGCTGTATACTACATGGAAGGCCGTCCAAGCTGAGTCGTCTATTAGTTTGTGCAAGAAGGGATGCAACACCAGGTCTTCCATAGTAGAAGTCCCAAACTTTGAGAATATATTGTATATAACATACAATAGCCATTTCCACCGGATCATCGGAAACTACACTCAATCTCTAGGATCTGGAAGGGTGATTTGGTCATTCTTATTAAACCTGTAATTTTTGAGTCCAAAGGCATTTGAATTATGAACACCTTGGTTTTTTCTAATCTTTTTCCATCTAAGAATTAGGATATGAATCGTGTGGAGGTAAACCAGTTTTGATGTAAGAGATATTGTTGACGTGTAACACTTTCTAGTGGCTAAGGTTAAACAAACTTCATGAGTCTTTAGTTATGATCTCTCGCAATTATATGCTAAGCAAACTAGAATTGAAAGACACAATTATGGGGTGTGCTTAAGAAAAATAGTACAACTCAAGAGGCTTAATTGGTTAGATTGACGGGATTATAATAACATTCCACATCTTTATGATTAAAATGCACATTCAGTCCATGTATTGGCAGTACCTAAAATTAATAATTACAATCAGACTTCCAACCAGAAAATGAATACACTACATGGAGCTTGCAACAAATAGCTACTGGATTATGTGTTATTAATTTATTAGGCTGAAATTAGAAAAAAGAAACACAATAATATTAAAAATTATGATAAAATTAGATAAAAAGATTGCAATCACAACAATACAAGTACAAAACTCAACTTGATAAAGACTACCCTAGAAAATTAAAAACAGAAGGAACTCAGATTAGCAATATCATACCTTAGCTATTCTGTCGTTGGAGACGGATGGCCAGAATCGCTGCCCACGACTCGAAGATGGAAGGCCAGATGTCGTCCTTAGGACACCGCCCACGACCTGGAGACGGATGTCCAGGAGTCTCCGTTCACAGTTCAACCTCCGCGAATGACCTCTCAATAGTTCAGTCCAATTACCATGGAGGGAGCGGTGGCAGGTGGTAGCTCTACTGTTAGCTCTTACAGAATCTATCCGAGCAGAGAGGAAGGGAAAAATTATTGTTCACTTCATCTTCCATATTTCCGTAAGAGGAGAGCGGCCTGTTTGTTTGCTGAAGAATCAGTTGGTATACCGTGGGAGCAGCCCACAGTGAGCATGCTGCTCCCACAAAAAAAAATGTGTTACTGTTCACGCGCGTGAATAATAACTTTTTTGTTTTGTTTTTTCATTGTCCCAGTAGCGGAATAGGTGTAACTCGCGTGTAACAAAATGTAACTAACGTTAATAACAAATGTAACAGCAAGCAAGTCAAAATGTAACTTGTCTAATACGAATTATAAGAAATAAAACATTGATTTTAATGTCAGATTCTAGTGAGAATTAGCGAGCAATTCTTTCTCTGGCTTCTTCACAGCTGTCTATGGCAATCACAGCTATATACATAGGAGAACTCTGTGGCAGAAGTTAATTGATTTTTCTAATCAAATTTCTGATAAGTGGTTGGTAGGTGGTGATTTTAACTCAATTGCTTCTCATTCTGAACATTTTGGTCCCTCTCTTCCCCATGCTACTAGCATGCTTGAGTTTGCAAATTGTATATCCTCATGTGGACTGGTTGATTTACCTTTTAGTGGTTCTAGTTTTACCTGGACTGGAGTCAGGTCTAATGGGAGACTCTGGAGAAGACTGGACAAAATTTTAGTTAATAACTATTGCTTTGACTCTTTTGATCACATTCAGATCACCGATCTTAACAAGACCCCCTCAGATCATTCACCTATCCTGATTCAGCTCCAAAACAAAGGTTACTCTGATCCTAAGCCTTTCAAATTTCAAAACATGTGGATTTCTCATGCTACTTTCTTTGATTTGGTTGCAAAAAGTTGGAATTCTTATAGCTATGGAGGAGGTATGCTTGGTTTGGTTAAAAAGCTTAAAGGCTTGAAACAAGATCTCAAAAAATGGAACTCTGACACTTTTGGGAACATTTTTGAGGAGATTAAAATATGTGAGCAGGATGTTTCAAATGCTGAAATTATTTTTGAGAGGAATCCCACTGAAGATAACGGAGCAGACTGGTCTCTCAAAAGGGCATTACTTATTTCCAAATATAAGTTAGAAAAAAAATTGGAAGCAAAGGGCACATTTAAACTGGCTAAAAGGTGGTGATGCTAATACCAGTTTTTTTCACTCTTATGTGAAAATCGGGAATAGAAAACAACAAATCACCTCAATCAAGAACATGGAAGGGGTGACAGTTAGTACTATACCTGAGATTGGTGAATCTGTTGTTCAATACTTCTCTTCTCTTTACTCTCATGAACAGGAAAGTGATCCTGAGGAAGTCCTGCAATATATTCCATCATTAATTGAAGAAGAAGACAATATTTCTTTAATTGCTCTTCCAGATTCTGATGAAGTTAAAGATGTTGTTTGGGATTTGAATCAAAATGGTGCCGCAGGGCCAGATGGTTATAATGGCAATTTTTTTTTAAATGTTGGCATATTGTGGGGAAGGATGTTGTTAATGCAGTTCAAGATTTTTTCCTGGGGGTCCCTATTCCTTAAGGACTGGCTAGTTCCCTTTTGGTTCTTATACCTAAAAAAAGATAATCCAGCTTCATTTGCATATTATAGACCTATTTGTCTATCCAATTTTATCAACAAAGTCTGCACTAAAGTTCTTGCTAATAGACTGTCCATGCTGCTTCCTAAGGTCATTTCCAATGAACAGGTTGGTTTCCTCAAAGGAAAGGATATAGCGGATCAAATTCTTATTGGTCAAGAGATGATTCATGTTTTAGACAAGAAGATTAGAGGGTCCAATATGGTGATAAAGCTTGATATGGCCATGGCTTTTGATAGACTTTCTTGGGGATTTCTTTCTAAAGTCTTACAAAAGTTTGGTTTTCATGGTCATTTTATTAATCTGGTCATCAATAATTTGCAAGCTACTCATTTATCTATTTTGATTAATGGAAGTCCTCATGGGTTCTTTCAACCTAAGAGAGGGGTTAAGCAAGGAGATCCCCTTTCTCCTTTTTTTATTTATTCTTGCCTCTGAAGCTTTCTCAAGATGCTTAAATTAGCAAGTGGATAATGGTTTTATTGAACCTTACTGGATGGGCAGATATGGGGTTCCTATTAGTCACCTTGGGTATGCCGATGATCTCCTAATTTTTATGAATGGGGGGGCTAGATCTATTATCAATTTTAAGGAGTTCCTTACCTCTTATCAAAGTGCTTCTGGCCAGACTGTCAATTTTGACAAAAGCTCCTTTGTTATTGGTAAACATGCTCAAGCTAGAACTCAGATCATCAAAGATTTACTGGGAACGCAGAAAGCCAGTCTTCCTTTGAGGTATCTTGGGGCTAACCTTCACAGGGGAATAAATAGGCATCAGTATTGCAATCGTATTATTCATCAGTTTGATTCCAAACTAACTACTTGGAAACAGAAAAACTTATCACAAGCTGTGTTGGTCCCGTTTGTAATAGGAACAGTCTAGAGGGGGGGGGGGGGTGAATAGACTGTTCAGGAATTTAAACTTTTCTCCAAGTCAAGTCTGACTTAACAGAGATGGTCGAAATCTGGTGACAGAGATGGTCAAGTTCTGATGGCAGAACTAGACCAGGCAGCGGATGAGTTTCTGTCCGAGTAGCCTCTAGAAGAAAGCTAGGCAAAATGCCTTTCTGATAACTCTGAAGGAAGATCTGCTGGACACAGATTCCAACCTAAAGAGTTAGTCATTAGAATCTTAAGTGCAGAAAGTAAAAGCTGAAAGTAAATGACACCGGGGTTTTTATAGTGGTTCAAGGAACAACTCGTTCCTCTAGTCCACTGTTCCACTAAGCTTGCAAAAACGACAGTTTACAACGCCTTAGTCCCTAGAACTTAAGAAGCACTCCTCGTCTTCTTCAAATCTAGTTGCCACCCGGATGCAGTCCTGCTTCCTGATGGCTGGTCTCGTTTCACTGAGTCTCTTGAAGTATCTCCACTTCACTTACTCCAGCTAATTTGAGACGTCCCTTCTTTTTCAAGAAGTGTTTGATATAGAATCAGTTTTCTCCAACGTTGCTTCTTCACAAAAGATGAGTATATGAAGCTCTCGAAGTGTTGAAGAACTGAGTAACTTTGCCTTTGCTAGTTGGATGAAGGATAGGAATATTTATCTTCCAACTGTGGCCTTTTCTTGTTAGAAATGGAGTTTTGATCTCAAGAAAGTTGTTCACGCAAATCTATCTTGGCAAAGGTTATGGCAAAGTTCTCTTCTTAGTTCTCCAGAGTGTATCTTATATACTGGGAGCGGTCTTCCCGTTGGAGTGTAGAAGACAGCTTCATTAAATGCATGTACTGTTGACTTGACCGTTTGGTCCTCCGACTTGCTATTTTGGGGGCGTAAAGATATTCGCATGGTTAATCATCAGCTTTAAATATCTCTTCGTACGTACAACATTAAATGTGCATTTAATGCGTGTACAGTGCCATGCTTCCGTTGAAAGGTTCGTAACTGTTAGAGGATTTCCCGTTAGTTTAACGACCGTTGGAAGGACTTCCGGATTCTGATGATACTTAGCAGAGTCTCAAGAGGTTCTCTGGTCCAGTCTCTGAAGTCCGTCTCTGGTGCCAACTCTGGTATCTTTCTGATAACCAGTTTCTGATAGCTTCTCTGGTGAGCAACTCTGGGAGCAACTCTGGTAGAAGCAAGATGGAACTCTGGCAGGCAGACTAAGCTAAAACTTACAAAAGAAATTCTAATACACAATTTCTAATGGGGTACTTTCAAATTCTAATTAATCCTAGCATCATCAAAATCTAAATACATTTATTCCTTACAATTTCCCCCTTTTTGATGATGCCAAAACCTTTTAACTATTTCCAGAGAAGTGCCTTTCACCATAAAAATATAAAGTTAAAAACTTTTCATTAGAATCTTGGTGGGCAACTTAGCATAGGAAAATAGTAAGAGTACGATTCATTCAGATAGCAAAAAAATCAAGTATGATAACAGAAAATACACAAGAAAGTAAATAAGAACAGATATTTGAAAAGAGCCAATCAAACAGAGAGGCAGAGAAGGTATCTTATTAAACTGTTAGAGAAAGTAAAGCATTACAGAGTTAGATAAAGAGAGTTAGAGATCTTCTTCATCTACCTGTGGTCCTGCTCTGTCAATCCTTTCAAGTTCAGCATTTACCTTCGCTCTGATTGAGGCTAAATCCCTAGGATTCTGATAGTCAGCCCAATGAGGTGCAAGTTTGCAATCCAGATAGTTTCTGACAGCTTCAGCAGAATTCTTGCCATTCAGTATATTCATTCCGTACCACATCTCAGATTCTTCGATCGAACCACCATGGTTGATCTGGACAAGTCCATCACTGTCCATGAACAGATTCTCTCTTTGAAGAGGGGTCATCAATTTTCTCATTTGTTCAAACTGAACTCTGTCTGGCCTTGACAGACCACTCTTCATCCAATCAGTGAATGAAAAGGATGAAGACTTCTTCTTTGAGCTTCTGGGAGGAGGAGGAGGAGGAGGTCTGGTGCCTGTAGCAGCTAGCCTTTTCTTTCTGGTAGCATCAAAATAAGGAGGAGGATCAACAGAGGAGGGTTCTCTGATAGAAAGGGTTCTGGTGCTGGTGCCTTCTCCTTCTCTGGTATCTTCCCCCTTTTTGGCATCACAAAGATCACCAAGGAGAAGTTCAATCTTGGAAAACTCAGAGGCTTGAGCATCTCTGATTTCATCAAGGGTTTCTGGCAGTGTCTGAGTGACAGAGGCAAGACCTTCAATCAGGCTTTGTTGCTTGTCTACTGCAGATTGGAGATCTCTGGTGCTGACCTCTAGAAGCACCATCTTCTGGTACCTTTCTCTGTCAGATTTGAGAAGAGCCAGGCCTTGCTCTTGATGTTCCTTGCAGAGAGAATGTAAGATGTTGAGTTTCTGGGAGGAACTATCAGCAGATTTCTGAAGATTGTGAACAGATTCTGAGATCCTGTTGATTGTCTGATTCTGGGCAAGCAGAGCTTGAGAGTGAGAGTGGAGAACAGAGTTGAGTCCACTAACATCTCTGGAGACAGAATCAATCCTTGAGTTAGAGGAATGCATGAAGGTGTGCATATTTTCTGTGAGAGCAGCAACTTTATCTGACAGGTGTTGAAAACCTATAGTGATTTGCAGATTGGTATGGGTGAGTTCCTCATGTTGTTTGTCATTTAATTCAATAATCTTGCTCAGATCTTGAACCAATATTCCACCAAAAGCTTCAGCAGACTTCACAAACTGGGTGAAGGGGATTTTGGATTCTTCAGGTGTAAAATCAGGCGTTTCCAATCCTCTGCCTTTTGGTAAGGGAGGAGCTCTGTTGGATAGTGGAGGGGAAGGAACTCTGGGGGGTGTCCTTCTCCTTTTGGAGGTTTCATCAGCAGCAATGGAGGAGGTGAGGAATCCATCATTGTCACTAGATGAGGAGGGAACCCTGAAGATAGGTTTCTTTTTGGGTGTAGATGCTGCAGAATGATGTGAGGATCTCTGAGGTGAGGCAGATTTGGATGCAGATGAAGGATTCTGGTGCTGAGGTGGAGAGTGAATGGGTGAGGCATCCTGTTGAGGGGGGGATGGTGGAGGTGAGGGTGAGCGGTTTCTGAAAGGGACAATTGCTCTGCAGGGAGATGCAATTTTTTGTTTGGGTGAAGAAGGTCTTGAGTTGGGTTTCTGGTGAGATGGTGTTCTGGTGGAAGGTGGGGTTTTCTGTTCTGGTGAAGGGGTTTTCTGTTGGGGTGAAGGGGTTTTCTGGTGAAGTGGGGATGAAGGTTTAGATGGAGATTTGGAGGGTGAGGGTAGAGTAATAGGAGATTGGGGAGGGGAAGGAGGAGGTGTAGGAATTACCTCAAGTACAATTTCGGAGTACACAGGTTCTCTCCACTCCTTGATCAGCTGCTCCATGGTAATAGCAATGTCATTCGCAGTGGATGGCTCTCCTTCCTCAAGAGCACTATGGCGAAATTTGATCATTGATTCTTTCCTTTTCTTCTCCATCAGCCAAGCATCAAAAGTTTCCATTTCTTCTTCTTCTAAGGCTCTGACATGCCTTTCTGGAGATAGGTCAGATGTGGGAGCTTTACCTTGATATCTGTCTTTCTTCTTTTGTAGCACAGAAATCAGAAAGGTAAGGTTGAAGCATTTTGACACATCATCTGTGCCTACCCAGTGAAGAACAGCAGCTTCTTCTTCTTCATAGGCATCAAAGAATTGGATGATTTGTTGAAGAGGACCCATTCTCCATCTTCTCCAAGCTAGAACTCTGTCAAACTGCTTTTGCAGAATGATGTTGAAGTCTGTTTCTTGG